GGTTATTATTTGCCAATAAAAATTGGTACTCCGGAAAAATCTTTCAATGTTCTACTTGATACTGTCACAGCATTACTGTGGGTTCCAGGATCGGAATGCGGGTTCGTCAGTTAGACTAATTTTCAAATTTTTGCACAAATTAGTGACTGAATACTTACTTTAAATGCGATAAATTTAGCATAAGACTGCATTACTGAAATAAGTGAAACGATTTAGGCACGATTTCTGCGATGGAAAAGCGGAATATTCACATTTGTTGTCACGTACATGTCGAACAGTTATCCCTCATAGAAGATACTCCGTTTACAGTCATAAAAGAAAAGTAATCGCGTATGAATATGATGATGACATTACGGTATGCTTCTCTTTTTACGGAATTTAATTACACAAAATTTGTGCATTCAGAAAAGAATAACCGTAACGCAATGATTTTTTGCTATTTAAGATAAATCAAGTCAATGACCAACCACTAAAAATCATAAATGCAGCCTTTGGGACACCTTCTGTCTTAAGATGGACTGATGCAACGAAGTACCGTTTAGTAGATGGAGTTCTTGGTTTGTCATCTTTAAATATCAATGATTTTCTGCATGACAATCCAATTCACAAAGTATTACGAAGTCCATCAACTGATCCAATTATTACGATCGCTCTACCACCAAGGGTAATATTCTGAGCGTAATCTTTCATTAATCAGCTTATTCTTGTATCTGTTTTCAGAAAGCAGATTTATCTAAAGGAATGAGAGTAAAGTAAACTTTTTTGCGGTTCATTTTCTTGTTGAATTTGAAACGATTTTCCTTACAGGCAGATGAATGTGTAATGAACTAGCTTAATTACATTTCTATTACGCAATGCTTCCAAAAAAAGACTGTAGTGATATCAATGCAGGGGAGACTTCAGTATTTTTTTACGCACGATGTTTGCGTAATTCGCTGTAACTATCATTAGATGATGTGTAATTAATGGCAATAAAATGAAAGGTTGCATTTTGCAGAGTAGTTATATGACTCCAACGCTTACGCTAGGTGCCAGCGATGACGAGTTATGTTCAACAAGCGATAAGCAAGTAACTGAAAAGCTTGTCTCTACAACAAATCGCTATGATTTTGCATATTCATCAATTTCTATTGGCAATACGACGTTTTCTCTTCAGTGGAGTTCAGCTTTCGCTTATATACACACTATAAAGCCATACATTGCTGTGC